GGGGGGATCCTGTGCTTCAAGGGAAGAGACAGCAGTCACTATGGCTTGAGCCTGTGCCAGGGCTCAAGGGCTTTTTCTAAGTCATCTGAGTCCACAGGCAAGTCTCAGAGGCCCCTTGACCCTAAACGGACTGCAGAGTCAAGACCTGTCTCACAGCCCTCCCTCTCTGGTGTTGAGGAGGCCCTTGGCCCTAGGAAGGCAGGAAGAGGCAGGTGTACCAACTCTTACGCGAGGGTGCAACTTTCCAAACAGCCAAGACAAAAAAACCTGCAGCAAGCTAATTTTGGGTGGGTACCGTATAGAAAATTTAAATACTGGAGCACACAACATGCTGTCAGCAAGACTGTGCCGGTACGTAGGTGGGCGACCACAGCAGCTGCTATTCATTCAAGCGATGGGCATATGTGGAGAAGGGCAGGAACAGAGATGGAGGAACAGATGCTGGACCACAAATCTGGGTCCTGGGTGTCAGTTTCCACTTGGTACTGAGATGCATAATCTTTGATCAGTTTTCTCTAGGTTTTGTTATATGAAAACTGGAGCCATGTTACCTTGTCAACATAATAAAATTTCGAAGGAGGTGTCAATGCCCGCTTCAGCTGGAAGCAAGGCAGGGTCTGTTGGGGTCCTGGCCCTGCCAAGATGGCTGCAGCACTGAGCCGGGGGCAGGGGCGGGGGAGGGAGGGATTCGCACCTGTGTCCCTCCGCCTTACAGACAAGAACTTGATACCAGAAAGAGTGAGACTTTTCATCAACCTATAACTAAAACTATCTGAGTGCTTTGGAGCATGATTCTTTTTTGCTCTTCCCCATACTGTATGAAGAGGCTCATCCCCACTCTGCCAATGGTGAGGCAGTATTGCACAAGGACAAACAGCCTGGGCTCAACTCCTAGCTCTGCTCATTACTGCTGTGTGATATTAGGCAAGTTAGGCATTAGGCAACTGCACTTCAGGCCCAGTTTCTGTAAGTAGAAATAAGCGTGGTACCTATTCCCTAGGAATATTATGAGGATTAAAAGAACTAAAACATACGAAGTACCTACAACAGTGTCTGGTATAAGGTAAATGCTATACATACTTGTTTGCCACTCTGGGGATACCTATCCACAGACCTGCCCAGATTCCAGAGATCTGCCCAGATTCACAGAGCTAAGTACCAGCAGATCCAAGATTCCCGCCTAGGTCTTCTTGACCCCAGGACAGCTATTGAAAATTACTGTGTTTACTGCCTTCTGAAGTGCAGGGGAGGAAAGTACACGACACAAGGGACCTTGACTGGACCTATAATTCCCCAGGAGAGTATGCCTCGCTGGCTGGACACATTCACACGTCCACACACACCTAGGGAGGCAACCTCACCTGGATGTAGTCCACCGAATCACCAAGGGCCTTGAAGGCTGTGTACATGACCTCTCGCTTGCCTCCCCACTTCTGCATGATGCATGAGAAGGTGCTGGCCCGCACCACATCCCGAACGCGGTCCATGCCCTCCTGAAGGCTGGCCTCCGTCTCGCCCTCACCCGCCTCATGGAAGTTGCTGCGCCACACAAAGAAGCCGGCTTGCTCAGTGGCCCCGAGCACCTCATGGAAGATGTCCAGCATGTAGGCATCCTCCTGGCGATTGCCGTCCACCACCAGGACCACTTTGAGGTCGGGGAAGGCGATGCGCTGGGCTGAGCGCAGGCACTTGCGCAGGTAGTCGGGGTCCTCCTGGTACGCAGCGATGCAGAGCGCCACCGAGCGCCGCAGTGGGGAGGGCAGCTTCAGGGTCCGGCCCGCCCGTCGCATGCGCCGGTGCTCCAGGAAGGCAAATAGGCTCTGGATGAGCAGGTGCAGGCCCAGGATGGCACCGTACAGCCCGAAGGACAGATAGTGTTTTTCTGTATGGATGAACTGGTAGCCTGTCACATAAGCTGCCAGGATCCCACCCAGCACTGCCAAGGCAAACAGGCTGGTGCCCACCACGCGCAGGGCTGTTGTCAGCTGCACCGGCATCTGGTGGGAGAAGGTGCGAGAGGTGGGTCAGCGAGAGGCAGCCTCTCTGGTCAATGGCCATGGGGGCATTTTCTCTGGGCCTGGTCTAGACCCAGGGAAATGATCCACTAATAACAACCATCACCATTTACTGAGCATGACTAAGACTGGAGACTCGAAAGCCAGACTAGTAGTAGTTGAGTTTTGCGGTTTAGTAGTAGACAGAGCACAGGCTCCTCTGTCCACGGGATTCCCCAGGCAAGAATACTCAGTTCTGCCACCTGCTGTGTGCCTATTCTACCCCTTAGATTATTCACCTGTAAAATGTGTGTTGCAGCACTAGCCTCCTAACATCTTTGAGGATTAAATGGGTTATACACATAAAGCACTCAAAGCAGCATTTATTATCATTAGCTAAACCCAAGCCAGAGAGATCTGAGAGAGACCTAGCTGGTGGCAGAACTGGGATCTACCTGACCCAACGCTCTCACAGGCAAGCTTCGGTAGGGTGAGCCTGAGACCAGTGGAAGCTCTGAGCATCTGAGAAGCCAAGAAGAGGGAGGAAGTGGAGGGGCAAGGGCAGGTAGACAGACTTTATGCCCTACACCCACCAGGGGATCACACCATGAAGACAGTGGGGAAGGAAAAGATGAGAAAGAGCAGGAAACATAGAGGTGCCTGAGGGAAAAAAAGGAGAAAACAGCTTCCCTTTCTCAAAACAACTAAATCTGTAAGAGAAAGTTTACCAACGTTCTCTGCTTTCTCACTTTTTTCTCTTTGACTTGAGAGGCAGCAAAGAAAGGGAAAGTGACCAGGAAAAGCAGACAAGGGAAAGAAAAGGAAATGAGAGCTGGGGTGTGGACAGCCCTCCTGGAAGCCCAGCACTGGGGCACCAGGGGGAACTGCAGCTACCACTTCAGCAGCCCAGCGGCCGGGAGGGATGCCTGCCAGGGAAGCCCCATCCACTTGGTCCTAGTGCCCGCATGGAATCTCTGTCCATGTACCCCTGCCCCGCTACTCCAGGAAACGCTGGCAGGTTTTGTTAGGAAAACTCAGGACTTCTAGCATCTGCCCATCTGGAAAGAGCTGTGTTTTAGTGAGCCGAGTCTAGCACTTGGTACTTGAAGCCTTGTGCTGGAGACACAGCCCTACTATCGCCCTGGCTGCCTGATCTTGCCCAAATTCTCTGGGACTTCGCAACTCCTCTGGGGAGGGATTCCAATGGTTTCTTGTTCCATAGGTCCCAGGTAAGTCATTATACTGATTAGTAGCCCTGAAGGACTGAGTGGGAGAGGGGAGGGGTTGGGGGAAGGCTGATGAGGACAGCTCCCCATCTCCTCTCCTTGCCACCTGCCTGATCTGGAGAATCCTGTTACCACCACCGCCCACCCTTTACAGACAAAGGGGTCTCACTTCCAAGCTTGCTCCAAGTCTGGGTCTCACTCAAACTGACTCCAGACTGCCACATCAACACAAACACACTTTCTTGCTAGGGGGCTGGTTCCCCTGCCACCCTTCACACAGCAGGGGTGAAGAACACGCAGTCGGTGCCTAAATCAACCGGAGACTCAGGCCTCAGCAGCATTCCAGCAGCTTCGGTCCGGAAAGTGCTGTTGGCAGCCTCACCTCTCCGGGAAGCTCGGCCTCCGGGCGCTCTGCCCCGCTGTCCCCGGGAGCCTGCCGTGTGCTTCCTCTGCAGGATTCCCAGCCGTCCTTGTCTCCCCCTCCACGCCACCCCCGCCGAGGGGGGCCTCGTACGCGCTTGCAGCCCACGGGTCCCTAAGCCCTGCATCCACCACCCAGGAGCGCCCCCACCCCCCTCTAGAGCTTATATGCCATGGGGGCGCTGCGGGCACTGCTGCCTGCCTGCGCGCTGGTAAAGAGCAGGGGGCGCCGAGACCAACCCAGCAACCTGCCCGGCGCTGGCGCCCCGCCTCGGTGCAGTGCCAGAGGCGGTGCCCACCAGGGTAACGCAGCCCGGAAGGCACTAGCCATGCTTCTCACCCCCACCAGACCTTGGCTTTCTAACGAAGGCGGTCCGGGCCACACCCACGTGCCCGTTTCCCACGACCCAGCTGGGAAGAAACGGAAAATGCAAGGAATCAGTCGGACCAGGCCCCACTCACCTCCTGGGGGGGGGGGGGGGGGGGCGCGGGCGCTACCTTGGCAAAGTGTGCCTGCAGACAAAGGCGGCATCCTCAGTGTCGCCGGCCCCCTCCTTTCCCGGGGCAGGACCCCTCCTCCCCCGCTCAGGAACTAGAGGCTTTATCCTGGCACCCCTACATCACAGAGGCCCCAAGAAGGTCCCGCAGCCAGAAACCCCATGTGCAATCAGGCTCTGGTACCAGCTCCGCCTCAAGTGGCCCTGCCCAGACAAGGGGCCGTGTCACCCCTCAAGCCGGCGGAGAGGAGCCTCTTGTCCCCCTACACCCCCTTTGCTCAGAGGAGATCCAGGAGAGCTCGGCCCCTGTAGGTTAATGCGCACCCGGCTTCAAGGGCAAGAGATTGGGGACGCTCTCCAAGCCCTCCCCCTACACCGAGAGACGTGGGAAAGAGAAAACCTCCAGCCGAAGACGAACGCCGCCGATCTGCTCCCGACGCCGCGCGGGGCTGCCCAGTCTGTAGCCTCTCCAGCTGACAGGTGTGCCCTTCTGCGGGGCCCACACGCGCGGCAGGACGGAAACTTGTGCGCGGGGCAGGGGCTCTTTCCTTTGCGCCTGGCCGCCCTCCCAGCCCCTCCGAGGCCGCAAGGGAAGGGGAGCCCAGGCCGCCGGTACTTGCGGCCATGGCCCGGCTGACCCGCAGTCACCGGGGCGCCGAAAATCTTGGTGCCTGCACAGGTGCGCACACCCGGGCGGGCCTGGGGCAGCGAGAAACTCCAGCCAGCCTCGTGCCCCTCACCGTCGTCCACCTCCTAATCCATTCACAAAACAGGAGCCGCAAGGGAGGAAGGGAGGAGAGGCTGGAGCAGGAGAGGATGGAGGAAGAAAGGGAGGAGGGGTCAGTGGGGAGGGGGCTACAGGAACGGCCGCCGGGAAGCCTGGAGATGCCGCAGCCCTCAGCCCGCCTCGCGGCGCTGCACGCAGCACCCACACGGCTGGGGAAGCCGGCGGGGTCCGCGGGGCTCAGCAAGCGGCACCGCTGGAGTCCGGCGCGCCCGGGTTCCTCGGGCAGCCCGCCCCTCCGAGAGGGCTGGCCGGTCGGCCAGGCCCGCGCTCACCGTGCCGCCGGCTGCCCGCGCTCCGGTGCTCAGCAGGCCCGCGGCGGCTCCATGCCCCTCCTCCCGCTCCTCGCCGCCGCGCCTCTCTTCACGGTGCGCCGCTGCTGCCGCGCGCTCCGACTGACGAGCGCTGGCCCCGCCGAGCAGCCTTTAAGTACCGAGCGCGCCCCCGCCGGGAGAAGCGCCCTCCTCCGGCCCTGGGGCCGGGAAAGTTGGGAAGAGTGGGAGGGCTCCCCCGAGGGCTGCGAGGAGCATCCCCTTCCCGGCTCGGCCGGGGGTAGCCCCACGCGGTCGGCGCGCGGCGGGACGCAGGGTCCCGAGTGGACGTGGCTCCTCCTGTTCTGAAAGACTCGCAGCCTCTGCACACTCCGAAATTGCAGTTCCCCAACCGAAGCCAAAAGCCGAGTTCCGTCGCGCTCGGCCCGGGACCAACTGCCCAGGGAAGAGGTGGTCATTGTGCTCAACCTGGAACCTGAAGCGCAGTTAACTTCAGTATAACCCATAGGGGCTTCCAAAATTGTGACTCTCAGTTGCCCTCTGCCCCGCGCCCCGTCTTCTAAGCCTCGAACTCTACTCACCCTGCAAACCAAGCAGGTAGAAATCCCCCGACTGCAGCAAGCGAAGGGGCTGTGCTTTGTGTAGAACACTCCCTAAAGCCAAAACAGCAGAACCTTCCTGCTGGGGGTAAAGAAGGCTCAGAAGACAATACTCGTTAAATATAAAAAAAACTGGTCAAAGGTGTTAACAATTGTGACAAGCTCTGAATTCCGCAGTGGGGCGCTGATGACATTAAGGCTTTCAAGAGCTGCAACGGTTTTGCAAGAACCTTGAAAGTTCCCTGTGTCCTAGAGCCAAAACCAATTCCTCCTCCCCGTTTTTTTACACCTTTACTTCCGACACCCACGACTTCCTAAATTCCCAACTGACCTTATCACCAGAGGTTTCCAAGTTCCCCAAAGCTGACGCTAGACCTGGGTGAGGTGAGGTAGGGTGGGGTAGGGTTAGGGAGAGATGGGGAGTTCTTAGCATTCAAGGAAGTAAGTTTACAATCAGCTGAACACAATGGTTTCTAAATCTCGGAAAATCTTGGATGTATTATAATTGAAGACTAGTAAAAAATGAATTTACATATCTCCTGGGACAATTGCTACAAAAATTTATAGGAATGTGAATTGCAGTCTCCAAGCTGCTCCTCTCAGAACTCTTAGGGGCTCACCGTGACTCAGCTGGGCCACAGAGCTCACCCTTCAGTCCCCCAGGTAAACAGACCCTTGACACATCACCCACTCCTATATTGCAGTATTTAAACCAAATCATTTTGGACTCTTGCTTGAGAAAATCAAGTTGAAACATTCTTTTTGTGTGTGTGCTTTTTATAACAAGTGTTCAGGGACTTCCCTGATGGTCCAGTGGTTAAGAATCTGGCTGCCAATGTAGGGGACATTGGTTTGATCCCTGATCCAGGAAGATCCCACATGCCAAGGTGCAACTAAGCCTATGCACCACAGCTACTGAAGCTCAAGTGGAGAGAGAGAAGACCTTGGTTAAGCCCTTGGAGTAAGTTCTGTCACTAGCCATGTGGCACTAACCTCAGTGTCTTCATCCCAGAGATGGGACTACTTGACAGGACTGTCATAAAGCTTGAAAAGACCGACTGAGAGTAAGTGCCCAGTAAAGGTTAACTCCAGCCAACTTCAGAGAATGGCATCTGCTTGCCAATGCTATGGATTCTACGTACCTATCCCTCCAGGGTGTGACACTTGGTGGCAGGAAGTTCAGTGTTCATGAAAAATGCCTTGTC